TGAAGCGAGCAGAAGGTGGTAAATGTGGGCGGGCAGAGAGGGCCTGCCTCTCAATCCGTCTGATCAATTGCTGCTCATATGGCTCCACCCCCCTCCGACGATTTTTGCGTCACTGGCTCCAAAAATCCAAGATGTCAACCAGGAAGTAGCAAAACCCTGGCTTCATTTGCTCAGTGCAGAAACCAATGGGTGACGTCACGGTAGCTACGTTCATCTTTTATACAGTCTGTGTTCCCACCACCTTCATGGAATCCGCATTACTCCTCATGGATCTTATAAACTAACAGTCAAAAACAAAAAGCTCCAACAACAATCGGTAGAAAGCAGCTCCCAGAACTCACCTCTCGAATGTTCCTAGAGCCAGACTCTCTAAATGATGGTTTACATCTGAAATTAATCTGGAGAAGAGAAGAAGAAGAAAGATATGAATACATCGATGATAACTGGGCTTTAAAGCCTGCTGCACGGACCAACCCAGCTGGTTAGAAACCAGGTTAGAAAAGGCATAGAACAGGCAGGTGGAGCATCATGAAGAGACCTGTAGAGCCAAGAGCGCAGTGAACACCAGCGATCAGGTTGGTAGAAGAAAGAGGTCTGTTTCTTGTTAGCAGAGAAAGTAGCTCAGACTCCAGGGGAAGCACCATGATCGGCCAAAATGTCATAAAAAGGTGGAAAAGAAAAACCAGAGCTGCGATACGACCAGATATCCGGTCCAACAGGCCCGCTTTCTGTCACACAGGTGTCGTGTTACACATTTGCAGAAGACATTGTGTCCTCCTGACTTTGTCCTGTTCTCCCTCCACCTTAGTTTACCAGATCCCTTCTAAAGAGCCACACCTGTAAGCCTGCCCCATTTACGACACCCCAAGGAAAATTAGAGAAAGAGACAGATTTAATGTTATTTGAGGAACAGAAAATGACCCTTTTAAAAAAAAGAAAATCTGTTGAGAGCGTGTTTATCTCCTGGATTACATTTCAGTTTGATTCATTCGGTTTTTTGATACATGCTTTATTTGTGTTTCCCACAGAGTACAATTGCCCTCACCAACAATGGTTCTCTGTGAGGGACACACAACAAACCAGCTCTGTGGGAAGCACAAATATCAGTTTATGTGCTGATTCCCTTATGCATGGATGGAAGTGAGGTCCAGACACCACCCCTAAAACGGAGCAGAGGGGAGAGAAAGGAGGCGTTTCATGCATCTCACTCTAAAGTTGGGATCATTGAGGGGAATGGTGGCGTCCAACAGAATGGCTTTAGAGCTGGGAAACTGCAGGTCAGACAGGGAGGACAGTTAAAGACAACCTGCCGTCCTCTGAGTGATTCAAATATAGTCATTAGCTGACAAAGTGACCATCCCTGGATCCACTTTAAGATTTCCATCATGACTGAAAGTTTAAAGTAATCCTCCTTGTCACTTCTGTCTGATAGTAAAACAGAAAATGTAATCCTTCTTTATTCCTACATCACCTTCGTCCCTCAATTTAAACATTCATCTCTAATCTTCTCCGCCACCTTTATCTGTCTGTCAAGTTTAACAACTGGGTCTTTATGTGTCTTGGCTCCATTTAACCCTTTGGGCCCAGAAACCCTGCGAGCAGGTTTAAACTGCAGGTTCGTTTTTCAGCTTGTTTTTCAGCTAATCATCCATAAGGTCTCGCTGCGTTGGGAAAAAATATCCAAATCTAATCTTCAAATTGTGATATTTCTCAAACTACTTGCACCAGATTCTGTAAAACACTAAAAGTTCTGAGCCTCTCATTGCAACTGAGAAGTCACGAATGGCTCCACAATAATGTGGCATGGTTCAAAAACAGTACACAGAGGAGCCAGTTGGTGGAAGATACATTCTCCATGGTGAAATATCCTTCAAGAGGTGATGTGCTGTAGTGTTCAGGTACATATTTATAGTATGTAGGGCAACTGTTTTTTCCATTTTTATTTTTCTGTTTTATACTGCATGAAAGACATTTCTGAGTCATACTTGTTCTGTTTTCATCGATGTCCAGGACTTTATATTGTAGTGAAAAATGAGCCCACAGTGATTAAAAATTTGATCATTTCAGTCTGATGGAACAGTCTGCACGGTGAAAGCATTAGAGACAAAGAACTTACCTTCTCCAGTTGTTCTATACAGATGGTGTGAGCTACTATCTTACAGGCAGCACACTTTTTTCTGCTGACAGACTTTTGCTGGAATTACAAAAAAAAAAAAAAAAGATGATCAGTTTTGCAACTCAAAAACAAACACATATGGACTGGAGTGACTTACAGTGTGTGAACTAAATGTGAAGCAGTAATGCCACCCGTGACCACTAGGTGTCAGTCCTGTACAACAAATACTGTGATGCCGGTGACTGAAACCACCAGATTCATAGAAATGATATGACAGTGTGTGACATGATGACTCTGCACGTGTGACATGACCAGCACGTCATTTGTTTGACGCTGATGTGAGCTGACATGAGTAAAAATATAACAGGGCATGACCGTCTTGATGTTGAAGGAGAGCAGCTTCACCGTGTACAAGGTGGTTTGCTTTAATAAATGGAAAGTTTGAACTGTTCTGACACAGAGGAAAGGCTGTGGTTAGTTGGCATGACCTACTCTAATTAAATTAGGGGCTAAATGCACCGCAGACTGAGCCGAAATCACAGCAAAATATCCTAAAATAATGCTAAATCATTATTCAGCTGTCAAAATCATGTTGTTTCCTTCTGGTAGGGGAAAGTGATTTAAGATCTGATGACAGCCTGCAGAATAAAGGTGGGTTAGATCAGATTACAGGTTTCCGGGGGCAGAGAAACTTGTAATTCACAGTATGTGTAATAGGCCTGGGTGGTATTTATGTTTTTATGTCTTGACTCATCGCCGACATTTCTACTGTGGTATAGAAGATAGAATGATATTTGAAAAATCAAATAAATATATCCAACATTTGCATTTACAGCAGTTTGACTTGATGCAAATAAGCCATATATGTGCAACAGATTTAAAACATCTGATGGTGCACTCACACATAACACAGCCTCAGAAGTGTGAGTGTCGGTAAGGTTATCAGTGACGCTCCTTCAGACAGTTTATAACATGAACCTCTATAAACGGCATCCAAGAAAAACACCCTTGCTTGCTCTTCGGTGCAAAACAACAAGTTTAACTTTGCTAAAGGATATAAAAAGAAGTGTAGTGAATATTGGGAGCGCGTTCTCTGGCCACCACAGTGAATGCATGGCCCTGACAGTCCAGGCCAGTGTGATGATATGGGGCTGCATGAGAGCAGAAGGTGCTGGGAGATGACATTTATAGATGAATGTCTGTGAATAAACCAAAACACTGGCTGGGTTGACTCTCAGCCTGCAGAAGCTTGCCAGAGTCTCAGCCACCACTGTTACTTCCTTTCTGTGAACTATTCATTTGTTAAAAGCTGTTCCTCTGCAAACTGCTGACAGTGTGTTTGGAGATTATTCAAAGCAGCAGGTACAGACTGTGCACAAAGCTTTACTCCAAACACGTTTATCCTAATCCCAAATCAAAATATGAATACAACTCGGAGCGAGCAGTATTGGTGAGGACAAATAGAGGTGTTCAGAAAGAGAGAGAAATAATCAGAGGCAGACACTCACCAGTGCTCTGGCAATGCAGTGCTGTTCTCCCACATAGCAGTAGTCACCAGACACATTTGTCTCAAACCAGATATGATCTCCATACAGAGCTGACTCCTACAGAGACAAACACAGAGGAGGCTTAGAGGAGGACAGAACCTGAAAAAGAACTGTTGTCTTTAACCCAGCAGAGCCCACATCTGCAGAATTACAGACATCACTTTTAGCTATTCTTTAAAAACAGTTGGACAGTAGATGTGTACACAAGCTAAGCCATCAGGCCATAAACTGACACAACCTACAAACTTTGCATCATCTCTTTGTTTTACTGGACTGAATACGTCAAGATGCAAGTAAATAAAATACTTGGAATGTCTGGAACATGTAGATATTTAGTTAGTGTGCAATCAGCTTAGATTTTCAGCTCGTTGTGTCTGTGCTGCAATTCTACATATCTGGGTGAGGATGGTAGTAACATAGCACACTGCAAGGACAAACTGCACTTCTCACATATAGAAAACAGAAATAAAATTAAATTTATAGGAGTTCTGTAGCAGTAGTGGAAACTGTATCTGCATCGTATCAGTCAAACTACATTTGACTGATCCTGAAATGCTTTTTGCATGAGACAGAAACAGGTTGTGAAACTTCAGGAAAGTTTTGGGGGAAGTTTGTGGCATTGTTCAGGTGTGTGTGTGTGTGGAGATGTAACTGGTCTGACCGGTGCCAGGTATTCATTTCACTATGATAAGCGGAGTATAATTACCTAGTCAGACAGTGTTGTGTGAGTTCAGTGGAATGTGTAAATAGGGTCAGGATTCATTTGCATTGAAAATAATCCGTGTTTTCTATTTCCGAACACCAGCAGCACAGAAAGGGACTTCTATACAGCGTGAGGAAATGGAATCATTCAACAATGACACTATTCAGGGGGGAAAACTTTGTCACGATCAATGTAAATGAACATGGCGGTAGAGTATAATTTTTAGATACAATTTCATCTTTTTATTAACAATAAATATAATGTTGTGTTGCTGAATAAATAATCAACCCTGTAAATGAACCCTGTGTATTTGTTCAGACAACATGAGCAAGTTAAGTTAATGACTTTTCAATGCTTCTGTCAGTAAGCATTCAGGAGTCACTGATGAAGCTCAGATATTGTTTGATAAAAGACATCAGTGACAGTAAGTCCATGGTACATAGCTGTGACAGCCAACTCATGTTATTCTTAGATCTCACATGACGTCTGTACCTGACAATCAACTGTCAGAAATGCAGCTCTGACATGAAAGCACTGAAACACAAGAATAGCTATCCATGTGGGTAATTTCTCAGAACCCTGCTGTGTCATACTGATACTCAGACTCACAGTCCAGTCCACAGTGCTGCGGATGCTCGCTTCTGGGTCGGTCTTGTTCAAAAATGATGTGCTGGGCTGGCAGGGCAGATGGTGCAGGCCGGACTTGGCTATTGCTTTCCTGGAAACACAAAGAGAGAATTTGTGAATATTCTTATTTTCTTGTCGACAATACAATTAAAGAAAGACAACTTTTGATATTAATCCAAAATCTTGTGAAGTTTGCACGCTGGACCTTCATGTGCAAGCAATGTACTTCTGTTGTTTTTAGGTTAACACAAGTTAAAGAGCAATGCTGTGTATGAGTCATATTTATCTGCATTTAGCTGTTGCTGAAGTGGGTCCTAAATCTTTACTTCTCACATCACCACCATCTCACCCTGGATTCTGGAGAAAATAGATGTATTTATACAAATCCGTCACAACATCTTATCCACAGTCAGATGAGATGAATACCATTGATCACCTCACAACAATGCAGTGTTCTACTGGGAAACCTTGAGTCGCTGTATTCATGTGGATTGACGTCGAGGATAAACATTGTAACTGACTAAACACACACCAAGATGGCAAGGACAACAAAAACCCGCTGCTCTGTAAAACTGCTCAGGAATGGCTCGAGGAACACAACAAAGAGGCATTAACACAGCTGCCAAACTCCTGAGATCTCAATCCAATCGAGCGTCTGTAGGATGTGTTGGAACATGCCAAGCACATCCATCCACAGCTGTTTTGTTGGCACATGGGGGACGTAGACAATATAAGCGTAGTTTCCTCTCTACAAGGCCTCTAAGGGTCCCAGTGGGATTTTTTTTTCAAGCTTTCATGTTATGTCACTATACAGTCTGCGTCACTGTACGGTTACTGTTGCATCTCCTCTGACCTACAGAGAAAGGTAGAGCTGTATTATATTTCGCTATCATGCAGCAGACAGCCGCTGGTTGTGACCACAGCAGGAGTCAGCGCAGCTTTAACGGTGTCTACTGAAGCACCATTGCGTTTAGCGGGATGGCTGGAGGAGCTGGTTCGTCAGCTCCCTCACTGGCTGCTGTTAAAGCCGACTGAGACAGACTATGGCTCAGCCACCGTGGGCTGACATAGCTGTCACTTTGATTGAGGCTGTAGGCATGGCTGTGCCTTGATTGTTGCAATTCTGTCTTGACACATTATTTAATGGGTGTAACACTAACTACATGCAGCAGCTGTGTGTGGGCTGTGACGGCTGCGCTGGCGGAGTTTGCTACTGAAGCTACTGTATTTCTAATTTCCTGCAGTATATTGGTAACACATCTGTCATATAAGCAGCACAGCTCAACACATCCAGGGAAACGTAGGAGATAGATTCAACCACAAATGCAGCGCAAAGTCTGAGCAACAACCACATCAAATTAAAGCTTCATCAGCAGGCAGGCAGGCAGAGCAGCTGTACACTGACAGAGATCTGCCATTTAACATGAGCAATGAGCAATAAATGTTAGAAAATTTCCCTCTCACCATCTCTCCTTTCTGTAGTATCTGCAGAGTGTTTCCAATAACCGACAGCATACGGTGACAGTGTAACCTTCTGTGCAGGAATGGAAAAAATAGCCCAGACAAACTCTCCCCACAGCGACCCTTAAGGAGCTCTGTATGTCTTTATTCATTGTTGAGAATAAAGCTCAACCCAATGGGTCACAGTGGGACGTTTTATCTTAACTGCTGTTAATGATCTGGATTTATATAGCACCTTTCAACCTCAGTGGTGGTACAAAGCACTTTACAATGTTTTTTATTTACACACACACTGACCACAAAGTGTCCATCTTCCACTGGGAGCAACATGGTGGTCAGAGTCTGTGGTATGTTGAGGCTGAGCCATGGTCGCCCTTATTATCACTGTAGTCAGAGAATGGCCTGGCTTTGGCCTTGACTCAGTTTAAACACTAACTATTGGTTGTTTTCCACTACAGGAACATGCAGGTCAATTTTAAGGTGGTCTGTACCTATTTATCAATTCAGACTGCAAGAAACGCCTCTGTAGAACCTGTTGTAGTATCTACTCCAGTGTAGGTACGAGCAACCCTAAAAAAAAACTGCTGCGTGGGTCTTGAAGCTGACACCGAACCACAACTATGGATGCGGTTGGCTCAGTGGACTGCTCAGCCTCAACAGCTGGCTCCCATCAGAATGTAACACCAACAGTGTTTATTGACAACTCTGATCTCTTCTGGCACCGTGGACATTTGTTGGGCATAGATGGTCTCCACCTGAACAAAGCTGGTGTGCAGGTGTTTTCAGACAACATTTACAGCATCCACTCCCCCTAATTGCACATCTACTGGGCCAGTGCCAATCGGTCCCACAGTGATCCACATTCCCGCCGTGCTAGTCCCTGTCTCAGTGGTTCAGATTGGTTCAAACCACCAACATAAATCATTAACTTCTAGAGGCTGAAGACTTGGTTTAAGGTTTTAAAGTTATGGCAAGGCATGTAGTAGGTCTCCAGGAAACAGAACGTGAACCAATAGAAACACAACAGTGTGTGTGTTAGTGTGTGTGTTTGTGTGTTACATACGACAGGAAGTTCTCCCATGTATCCAGATAAGGATCGTAATATATGCTTCCCTCTGGACCGTCCAGCGGTGAAGAACAGCTTTTATGGAGTGCACACCCAGAGGAGGCCACATCTGTTGCAGCTGCCCCAACATCAGAGCTCTGACCTTCTGAGGCCAGCTGAGCCAGACTGGGGCTGGTCATGGAAGTCTGGATTGGTTTATTTAAAGTGCCGTGAATCTGATTGGAGCTCCGTTGATTATATTGACCATAAACTCCATAAGCTGTTTCGCTGCTCCGGAACACAGAATCTGCTGGAAGGAGGTGTGAGGAGTTTCTTCTCAGACAGCGAGGAGGACGGAGTAAGGGTCGGGCTTTAATGGTCTCTGTAAGGACTCCCTGGGTTAAGTGCATCTGAGCCGAAGGTCTGAAGTCTTTAGTTTCTCCAGTGCTGTTCTCCACCTCTTCATCACTTCCTTCGTCTTCATCTGACTCAGAACAGGAGCACTGGGAGGCGTCCAGTTCCTCCTTTGCCTCTTCTTTGTCTTTCCCCCCTCTGCCCATCTGGACTACACTCGCCAGTAACATAGATGACCCGAGTAAATGAGATTCAATAGATTTTACTTTAGAAGGACGTCGATATCGCACTGCCAGCCCACGATGTGTGCAGGAGACGGTGCAGGAGGCGCGACGGGCATGGGGGCCATAATGATGAAATACCCTTCGCCCCTTGGTGATGGCTCCATCTGCCTGAGCTGCTCTTCCAGATGCTGCTTCACTGGGGTTTGCTAGTCCTTGCTCTATAATGGACTGTCGTCTCTGTCCACTGGCCACCAGCAAACCAATACTGGGGCGCCTGCGCTGGTCAGTACTAACCGGAGGTAAGCCAATGGAGGAGCGCCTGGATTGTACTAATGTTACGGAGGGCAGACCGACACTAGAGCGCCTCCTGGCTTTACTGGCCTGAACAGCAGGACCAGGCGGACGCGCTGCAGCGGCGAGCTTCTGTCTTTTTTGGCGTCGACCGAAATGACGCTGGAAGAAGTAATCCATCATGTCCTGGAGTGCAGGGAAATATCAGCGGTAGTAAAATGATATGTGGAATCTGATGAGGTGTACTCGGGAACATAGCAGTGCTGTTTCCTGGTCTTCTCTGACAGCAAGGTTAGCTGTCAGATATCACATGATTTCTCATGTCCATGCAACAGCAGATGGTTTCCCTCCACCAAAGGCCAGAATAAGACGATGCTAGTGCTGGACACCCACTAGTCCACATCATCTCTTTGTGTCCGATCTTCCTTTAGAAATGCTGAAGAGGCAAATAGGCCATTTATGTTAATTAAATCTGTGAAGGTATTTATTCACTGAAATAGTTCCTTGATCTCCAAAATAAATGCATATTTTTTTGTGAAAAGAAATTGCATAGATACATTGCTGCCATGTTTATTTAAATTAGTGGTTTCCTGATGCAGTGCTGCTTTGTTCAAAGTCACTCAAACCAACACCCAACAACCATTTCCCACAATCGTCACAGTAGGAGTAAATTATTCATCTGCTCTTCTTTCTCTCACGGTGATTCGAAACACTTGTGTGGCATCACGAGTGCACGACCAATGCATTATTGTGTATTGGTTGATGGGAATGCATTGTGTTTCTCATAGCGTAGAAAAGTACAAAAGTATCGCTGCGGGCCCCAAGGTATTTGGAGAGGCAAATTTAGCTGAGTTTGAAAGTATCCGATTATGCTGATCTAAAGGTAAACTGAGAAAACATTCAGTCAGATGACACCATGAAAACAAATCTGAAGTCCACAGACCACAGAGGTCCGTGGGATGAACTGTGTCTCTCACACTTCCATGGACTGCAGGGTTTTACTGCTCATAAAGAGATGTCAGAGGAACATCTGGCATGTCAAATCTAGTACAATTGTGCAGTAGTTTCGCATGAAACTCAACTATTGTGATCTTTGACACATGCATTTGTGTCTTTGGGTGTTGCAAAATGTCTGAACAACGCTTGAACTTGAGCGTTTGCTTTGAGGAATCAGAGAGAGTCTAAAAAAAGAAGCTATCAGTGAAAGATGCAGTGATATGCAGTCAATTCGTTGTAAATCCTCTGAACCTCAAAAAACCCAGGCAGGTTTGAAAGACATGCTATCTTTTTTTTTTTTTAAATCACTAAAACTACACTATTTATTAGAGACAGAAAGTTATAGATACATGAAGGAAAACAGAAGGAATATTCAGACTTTTAATGCTTCAACAGTAACTTCATAATTAATCATTTAAGACGTGGAGTTCCATGTGGGAAATGAATCAAATGTAAGATTAAAATCCTGGTCATCCATCAAATCGCTTTATCCTACGTGATTGATTTAAAAATTAGCCAAAAATAAACCGCTTGCAGCAACCACATTCTGTGAAAGACAATCTTCTGCGAAATTAGGAAACCATTAGCTGCTACCAAACAGTCACGTGACACAAATTCAGAAACGTATCGAGGTACAGCTGCTTAAGGTTCACGCCTGAAAATGATAAAAATAATAAATGAAGGCAGAAGTCACTGCAGGACTGGTAGATTAGACTGAAT